CAAGAAGCCATCAGAAAAATGCTAGATTGTTTTCCATCTAAGACAAGGAGAGAATTTCTGGGTAGTATAAATGGTTACTGTACCTCCATTGCTAACCCAAAGATTGAAGGTCCAAGCCCTTCCATACATGCCTTGGGGAAAAGGGCTGGTGACGGACTTCCAGATAATTAGGCACTGAAAACCTTTGGCAGTGCACTTCTCACTCTGACGTACAGCAGGGATTGGCTCCACGGCAACTGGAATTGGCGACTCAGAATAAAGCAAGTGCAAAGTGGCCAGAGCACTGGGCTTAGAGACTGAAGACCTGGCCCGGATCCCAGTTCTTGCTATTCAAAATGTATTTGCTTTGGATACTTCCATTAGGTTTTTATTTTTTAACCAAGATTCCCAAATCAAAGGGTCCATTTCTAGGCTTTTGAGCAACATGCTAAATGCTAGGGAAACAATGAACAAGTACAATGCCCTCTGGGAGCTTAATGCCAAATGGGAGAGATGCACATGTGACTTCAGGGGGAAGGTGAGGCTAGAGAACTCTTGTCCTGATGAGCCTTGTGGGGCTGCCATGGCTTCCCTGTAAGGCTTTGGTTCTATATTTCTCTACATTGTGCATCTTGTTTTACTTGATGTTTGCTTACATGACAAGCCTTTTGCCCTCAAGAGATATCAAATAGATCCAATTACTTGGTAATCGTAGTCTTCACACAGATTAGCATAAGACCTTGTGATGTCGTGAGTTCTGATAATCATAGCTTTTGAAACTATGAATACCTTTGGGGGAGTCATCTAAGAAAACTCAATCTGTCTTCCTGCCAGTGAGCTTTACCATTTATCCTTACCTTTCTCATTAGACAAGTCCCAAGAAAGGTAGGCGAGAGCTTCCCAAAGAGACATGGCCTCCCCAGTGGAAAAGCTCTTCCAGCACGAGCCCATGGGGGCAGGAGTAATAACAATACTTATCAGGGGTCCAACTCGGACTCCTCCCACTTTCGATCCAGACTGAGGACAACTCGCTGGTACAAACCCTGGGAAGCAGTAATCTCTGGCTCAACACGTCGACCTGCCCAAATCATCTTCTCCACGAGCAGTTAACAAAAAAAATTAAGGTTAGGTTTCAGTGATGGACTCAAAAGTAGGGTCATTTTCTTTGAAAATGTTCTAAATTTACCAGTTGTCCCTACTATTAAAATGCACCTATTAAAGTCAGATCCTTTAGAGGTTCTTCTCTCTGCTCTCTTGACTACTGTTTTCCCCCAAACTCTGCGTCTCTGGCTCTAGCTCTTCTCCCTCTACCGGTAAAATCTCCCTGACCTGGGCCCATGATGAACGTGCAAGAGCTCAACGTTGGGAGCCGACAATTCAGGTCTGAATTCCAGTTCCGCATCCTAATTGCTGTGAGGATTTGGGTGAATCAACTCATTGCTCCTGTTTATTTATTTAGTAAATAATGTATTTAAAAATCTCTAACAGCAATACTGCCACAGAAAAATGTACTTAATAAGTTGCACAATTAAAATATTTATGTAAAAATACACAACAAGCTATGGTAGCACGATTTATGCTTTGATATGTGTATATACTTGTTTGTGTGTTTTAATCTTGTTTTTGGTACGAATGCTTCAATTATGCAAATACTGTGTATTTATTACCCCAACGGCCATAAGCCATTGGATGGTTCTGGAAGAAGGCTAGCAATGCAGCGAGAATCTCACAATTCAGCCGGGCCACTGACTACCACTTTACCGCTGTAGACTTCGCTGATCGGTTATCTGGGACAGCTCAGTACGCTCCAGCTTTATTTACATAATTAATTTGTTTAATCAATCTTTTGGGGAAAGATTAGCCATCTAGAACCCACTCTCTGCTTACACAAATTCTAAATTGATGACCTATTATGTTTATGTATAATCTCAGTAACGTCCCAATGGGTCAGCTCAGAGATGAAGGTGCCAACTTCATCCTGATCCTCATAGCAATCGCTCCTGAGAGACAAACACAAGTCACTGTCAGCCATTGTCAGAAAGCGCACGTGTTGACACTATTTGTTGCGTGTCTACACTGGGATGCAGCCATGAGCAAAAACAGGCATGGTCCCACCTCAAGGGGCACACAAGCAGGGGGTGACAATCACTGCTTCTCAGAGACATTTCCACCTCAAACTGTTGGCATGGTAGTGACCAGTCTGCTTTATTCTGAGCTGTTCTTGTCCAGTAAGGCCAGTCATGTGCTCACAGCAACAGTAAGGCCCTAAGACAAGGGGTGGTGAGGGAAGCCTCACGCTGCCCAGAAAGCCTCCTCCCACCAACATGACCAGTCTTGTCCTCTCTGCCAAACGTCATCACTTCCTCCAGCCTTGGCTAGGCCAGGTAACCCCATTGCTTCACACATAGCTGCATGTAGTTGTGCCCCAGAGTGGAGGCTTTTCCAAAGGGCTTTTGGAGATCCACTCCTTAAAGGAAGTGGCTGAGCATCAGGTTATACCTCAAAATTGTGCCAAAGTCAGCTGGTGGCCTGAGAATGCTGCCATTTGGAGGTGGTGTGTCCCTGCCTGCCTGCCAAGAGTGCAATAAGCCTAGCAGTTCCTATTCTGACTTGGCCAAATGCCATCTGAAACAAAGAGCAAACACACTGGAGGTTACAGTTAAAATCTGAAGCTTTGACAAGCGTTTGCTCCTGTGGTTATTTCTTATCTAATACGTGGTGCGAGGAGCCAAGTCAGGCCAAAAGCGTAGGAGAGAAAGCTGAGACCACGTGTTCCCACACAGATCGACAGCCGTAGCAATCCTATACGGGTCACTCTGATGAGAATCGACTCAGTGGCAGTGGGCTGTAGGAAAGTAACAATGAAAGAGCCCTGGTGGCATTGGACTGCGAACCACGTCAATGACCCAAACCCAGTACCCTGGACCTGTTGTCAGGAGAGAGCAGTCCCTGGAGAAGGACATTGTGTTTGGTCCAGTGGAGGGGCAGCAAAAAGGAGGAAGGCACTCAAAGAGATGGATTGGCACAGTGGCTGCAAGGATGGGCTCACGCGTAGGAACACTTGTGGGGATGGCACAGGTCTGGGCAGTATTTCATTCTGTTGTGCATAGGGTGCATAGGTGGGAACCTGCTTGGTGCACCTCTCAACAATTACCTGATCCATGGGAGAAGGATGAGGCTGTCTGCTCTTGAAGATTTACAGCTCCAGATACACCAGGAGTTGGAACCGAATGGGTGACTGTGTGCATGGATTGAAATGCAACACTGACATTTATATGATTAAAAATTTTGGACCACTACGGGCAGCATTACAGAAGGATTTTATTACATTTTGAATTTGGAGATTGCTATTGAGATGGCCTTTTGATGTGTCAACTTGGCTAACCACCCACTGCCCGAGTCAACTCTGATGCATGCACAGCGACCTTCTGGGACGGAGTGGAACTGCTCCAGGGGGAGCTGCCAGACCATAAATCTTTATATACCTCCCACTGGTTCTGTTTCTTTGATTAAACCCCGACAGACTCAGCCATATACTTTTCCCCATTAAATCTAACTGGTTATAATATTTAAGATAGGAATTTTTCCTACTAAGTGTCTATTTATCTTGGAAGAGCTGTGAGGTTATTTTTATGGAAGATGTGGAATGCATTTAACTGAACGTGTTGCTCTATTTTTTCTCACATTTCCATGTATGGAATCTGACAGCCTCATCTTTCACCTGCAGAGCAGCTAATGGGTTTGAACCAGCAGCCTTGCAGTTAACAGCATTCAGACACTTAGCTAGGCATTACTATGCAGGTATTTTGTAGATATGATTAAAGTTCATAAGCCATCTACTTTCCAGAACCTGAATATGCCCGAGTCAGTCGAAAATTACTTCCATCCAGTTGATGCAAACTCATGGAGACCCTCTAGGACAGAGCAAAGCACTGCCCCTGTGGTTCCCAAGGCTGTAACTTTTTATGGGAGTAGAAAGCACCAACTTTCTCCTGCTGAGCAGCTGGTGGTTTTGAACTGCCGAACTTGCAGTAAGCAGCCCAATGGGTAATCCACTCGGCTATCAGGGTTCCTTAATAAGTTGAAAGGCCCTCAAAATAAAGCTGAGGCTTCCCTGAGAAAGAGGAAATTAGGTAAATGCCAAAATTCCAGACTGCCCTTTCAATCATCTGCTGTATAAAGACTTGCCAGATGAGACACCCCTGCCCCCAACACGCACACACGCATGCACACACACACACACATGCACGCACGCACGCACGCACGATCACATAATCGAATGTTCTGCAGTGAATCCATAATATATACCTTCTAGTGGTCTGCTTCTCTGATTAAAGCTGGCAGGTTTAGCCAGGCTTTTTTTTTTTTTTTCATTAAATCTGATTATAGCTTAATATTTAAGTAGAACTTTTCCCACAAAAGTTCTCCTTATGGGGGATGAGTGGAGGGAGGCGCATCATTTTCACTGAAGAGGTGGAGTGCATTTATTTCAACACATTGCTCTATATTGCTACATTTTTCTTACCTTTCCAGTTCAAATGCGGATGCAAGGACAACCTCCTTTCCTAGCTCAACCTTTTTGTAGGTCAGAAAGAAGAAATATAATTAGCTATTGCGTACATGTCAAGAGGAAGAGAAGTTAAAAATGGTGTGTAATTAGCACAAAATCAAATCCCTTAAATACAAGGGCTTCCTACATACATACATACACGTGCTATATCTTTATAAGAGAACGGGCTTTCGAAAGGTCTAGATTTGAGAAAGGAAAAGGCAGTGTGAAGGCATTTTGTCACGGTGAAAGCAGACTTGTTATTGTTTTGCAACCTGACAATCTAACTGTCAATGACTCAGCAGTGCAATTTTCATTACTCTCCTAGGCGGGATTCCTTCAAACGGTTTCTTTTGCCCAGTTTCATTTCATCCTGAATCAATCTGACAGCTTCTAAGGCTCAGATATTGTCAAGCACACACAGGATTTCAGCGCTGGTCCCAAAATAAGACTCCAAAGGAAGCGGAAATTGATGCTAGATTCACATTTTAATGTAACAGAAAGTATGATTCATGAGAGACTTTTCTAAGGAAAGGTGACGCCGTCCTTTGAAAAAAACAAAACCAGGAAAACGCCACTTTAGAAATGCTTCAACATGGAAGGCTTTTCTTGCTGGGCAGGATTTTCCTGGTGGTAGGAAGAACATGCACAAAGAACCATACTTCTCTTGAAATTTAAATCTTAACCACCCAAAATGCCAGGAGCATGTCTCCCATACCCATCAGCTATTTTACAATAAATTAATTTTCATGACAAAGGACTAGTACCAGTAGATCGGATAGTAGAGAAATTTGTTACCATTTGCTTGCTATAACAAATGTGTGCTTTCATAAATTTGTTCACTCTGATGAAAACTGAGTTTTTGATGAAGGCGGTTTATAGGAATTATGCCTGTAAAAAACAAATTCAAATTCAGCAGCCCTTTAAACTTAAACTAAAATTCCAAGAACTGTCCTTGATATATACACCAATGTTTTCATGTAAACACAGAGATGGAGAAGAATTAAACATTGCTGTCCACAACAGAAATACATAGATTAAAAAGATTATTTTATTTCACTTCATGCTTCCACTGGACATGACTGGGGTAAGCAGAAGCAATAGATTTAGCCGCACCTTTACATTCCTCTCACACTCGTGTCAGTATGTTACATACCAGAAAGAAATCTTTCTAAGGGAAAAGAGAGTACGACTCCTCAAAGTCTTAACTTCCACCTTTATGTCCCTTTCCACTCTCCCATCGAGGGTACGGTTAATCAGGACTTGCCAGCTGAAGGGAAGGGAAGCTAACACTGGCGGGTTCAACACGAACACGCTTGGCTGCAAATTAGGCACAAAGACGAGTGGATTTTTCTCTCAGTGTGGATTGAGCAGGCATCTACAAGACGGTGGCTTCCAGCACGAGGCAAGCATTTTCAGATGAAACAGATGCCTTAACAGGCATAGGCTCTACAGGGGTGCTTCTTGGGATCTGCCAGTGGGAGCACCTGAATCGGAATCGGGAAGAGTGTGCAGTAATTTAAAAATATGGATCCTTGGGCTGAACCCTAAGTGCTCTGGGGACCCAAGAACCTGCATGGTTAACAAGTGACGTGGCTCTGGGATTGCTAACATTTGAAGTTCACTTTTTGAGACGACATAGGATTTCTCCCCTTTCTACTGGCCACAAATATCTCACCATCACTTTCATGCTTCTTCCTTATTGGGGGGGAGAGGGAGGAGTCAAAACAAAACAGCAACTCCTCCCTAAGCAGGTCAGCAGTGACATCAGTAGTGGCATTTTTTTCCCCTGAAGAAAGTATGAAGGAACACAGGCAACACAGAATTATTCTGCACCGAAACATGTCAAAGGTTCGGCGCAGTACCTCTGGTACTTCCAAACGAACACATAATTAAAAGGTTCAAAATGGTGTGTAAACTGTTCTCTGAGCAAGGTGATCCAGTGTCATGAGAACGGCAGTCCTGTGTGGTTGCTGAATTTGCTCAAAATGAACAAAGAAAACGAAGTTCCATTTCAACTCCAGCCACAAAAGGCGTGTCAAGACCCACTGTGAACACGGAAGATGAACGCAGAGCATGCCAACTTTCCTGCGAGAAAGTCTAATGTCATAGATATATCATTTATCAGCTTCAAATCCAGTTTGGAGCAACGATGAGAAGCATGGTACAATCCAACGTGCTACTTGTATCTACTACAGTACGTAAGTTCTGTTAAGATTATGGACAATTTTACCTGCGAATAAGAATAATATAAAAATGGAAATTAAAGAGGTAGGTGACTATCATCTGAAGATGATACCAAAACTTGAGTTCCCTAACAAACCGTGAGCTCCAGGGCAGACACAACGGCCTCAAGAGCAGAGTTTTCCTCCTCTTTCATGATGTCATCAATCCCTCAAAGTCCCAAATCCTGACGCCACGCGGCACACTCTTCCGACCTTCAGTGGTGAGAAACAGCTAACGAAGGACAACGTGACCAAGTAATACTGCAGACCACAGAGTGATGCTGGTCGGCTGGGCTCTTCCAAGATCCATACCCTCCTACGGAGAAAAGCACAGAGTTGGACAGGGCCTTGGGGATTGAGCTAATCCAACTCTGATTTTACAACTCAAGAAATGAAGGTTTGTTTTTCCATGAGCTCACAAAGCACTAAAATTCGGAATAAAACTCTAAATCCCAAAGGTTGTTCTTTGTTTGTTTCTTTGTTTTCCCCCTACATACTAGCCCATGGTGTAGGTGTGAGGCTGTGCTTCCTCCCTGATGGCCCCGTCTACAGTCCCATCCTGGCTGAGGAAGCGTGTGAATGGTGACAAAAGTGTGACCGGATGCTCTGAGGGGCCAGATCATCAGTAGGAGGAAAAGAAGTTGAAACCTGCCCTGCCCTATTAAAGCTTCCTCTAGATTTGGACCATGGCCTAACTCCCCCTCTCTGTAGGAGACACAGCTCGAAGCACATTCTCAAACTTCAACCTGACTAGGGGTTCAGTATTGAGACAATGCTGTTTTGCCCCACACATTTAGAAAGAGCACAGCTGGGTAGTTAAAGGCAGGGAACCCACAAAGCCAAGGCATCCAAATAGTATTTAACTTCTTGGTCATTGCCAGCCATCTTCTTGGCAAATCAAAAAGCCACCCTATGTCCTGTTAGCCTCCTTGATCCATGACTTTAGAGCTCTACTTCAAAAGGCTAGTGCCACTGTGGTTTTATTTTTCCTTTTCTATCTTCCAGACTTTCTGGAATACTATCATATTTCCTTGAGCAGTTAAAATAATAACGCTGACTTTTTAAAGATCGATTTCATCTACAGACATAAAGGGGGCATGCAGTGTTCTCCCTTGATTAGGGAGAACCCCAGTGAGGGACGCAGCTAAACCCCGGTGGGGTGTCAGTGTGGCACAGCACAACAACAGTCCCATGACTGGCAGATTTTGGGGTTCCAGCTCCACCCCTGAACTGGGGCAGGATTTTAACCAGGGGTCTGCTTTCTTCATCTGGGAAAAATAAAAAAGGAAGAAATAATACCCACCTCACAGGATGCTGTGAAGATAAAATGATGCACAGTGCCTGGCACACGGTAAGGTGTCCAAGAAATGGTAGCCCCTTCCCCCCACCCCCGCTACACCCAATGAACACCCTTAAATGAAAGGACTCCTTACAGCCTGTGTGGGCTGTCCCCTGAAGACATGTCCCTTTCAGATTTGCAAGGGTGCTTTGTCTTCTCGATTTCCCCCGTTGCTCTAAAGAGTCACTATTGTCCTTAGGAAAATGCTTAAATTTCTAAGTTCTCTCCTTTAAAGTTGTACATGCAGATAAAAATTTTTTTAAAAGGAACTATCAACCTAGAAATGATAATGCACAGGTTTCTCAAAGCACAGGTATGTGTAAAAACAATTCTCAAAAATATGACTGAATTATTTTGTACATTGTTTCTTAAAGTGCACCAAAGTAAATATTAATGACCTCTGAAATGTCACTAACCCCCTTGAGTTATTTCTTTAATAAAACTAAATACGAACCTATTGAGATTATGGGGTTTTGGCTCCAATGTGATGGGTAAAAGCAGCAGTGTCTTCCAAGAGAAAGAAAAAAAACTGATAAACTCAACTTAGCACACTTTAGCAGCATATAAAAACACCTACAATGTAACGCAATCTCAGGCTCAAAAAAGTGTAACCTTGATTCTCGTTTCAAAAATAAAATCAAGCAAAGATATGCCTGTCCACCTTAAAGCAAGGCTTTCGCTTAAACTCGGTTGGTAAAATTTGTGGTCCCTCTCCCACTGTGTCCCCTTTAGAACAGGAATGCTTGGGGGGCACAAACGATTAGATGCTGGACCACGAGCCAAGACTGGCAGTGCGAAACCCATCCAGCGGTGTCTTGGAGGGCAGGCCTGGAGATGTGCCTCGGAGAAGTCACAGCCACCGAAACCCTATGAGTAGTTCTACTCGGCACGCAGGAAGGTGCCAGGAGTGGGACGCGCCCCCACAAACCGGACACCAATCCTTGGTAACAGAATTAGAACGGATTGCCATCCTTTTCCACACTGCGCGCAAGCGCGCGCGCATGTGCATGCACACCCCACAAATCTTATGGAAACAATAAGTCTATGTGAGAAAGCCATGTGAAATAAAATTCAAGGTCAGATCAATGACAACCATCACCGAAAAGGTCCAACTGTTCCGACAGTCACACCACAGTCCGGTGCTCACACACATAGACGGCACTGGGGCGTATTCGTCGCCGTGTATGACCAGGAAGACGAGGCAAACACTTGAAGGACTTAGGCATCATGTCCAGGCAGGCATCGTGGAATTTCTTAATCCTCCAGTAGTAAATCAGCGGGTTCAAGGCAGACTTGAGGTAGCAGAGCCAGAGCAACCAGGTGCTTATCTCGAAAAAGGTGTGCTTATAATAAAAGTGCTCATTAAACGTGGCCACAAGGCTGTACGTGGTGAAGGGTGCCCAGCAGACAATGAAGACAGCGAAGAGATTCAAGATGGTGGTGAAGGCACGTGTTTTAAAGCCCATGTCAATGCTCATCTGGAAAGGCCTCTGGAGACTCATCAGACCCAGTTTGCTGGCCTGGCTGAGGCATATGCCCTCAGGATAGCTGTGGATCCTCAGGGCGTTGTGCCGAAGGGTGTTGAGTATGCCCATGAACGAATACAGGATCACCAGAAATGGTATAAAGAAAGAAATGAGGGAAATCAAGATCACATAAGCTTGGTATCCAGAATTCGTTGTGAACCCAAATACACACTGAGGGGCTCGGGGAGGGATCTGGAGGTCAGGGTTTCCTACAGCCAAAGGGAAAGCTATACAAAAGGAAGCTGCCCAAGAAACAGCTATCAGAACCTTAGCCCTATACGGATTTAGCTTATCCTGCCTCTGCACTATAATAAGGAAGCGATCAATGCTAATGATGAGCAGGATGGCGACGCCCTCGATCACAAACAGCCAAAAAAACATAGCAGATATCCGACAGAAGAACTTCCCAAAAATCCATCTGGTAGTGAGAACAGTAACCAGGGCAAAGGGCATGTTCAGCGCTGCAAGCAACATGTCTGCAAAAGCCAGGCTGGCAAGGAGGATGTTAATTGCAGATCGCATGGCAGCTTTTTGGTAAACCATGAGGCAAACCACCAGGTTCCCCAGAAAAGCCACCACCAGAATAAACATCATGACAGCAGAAAAGAAGATCTGGAGAGGCAAGTTCAGGCTCTTAAAGCCTGCTGGTGTGGGGGGTCCCGCTGTGCTGTTCGCTGTCCAGGAGCTCAGCCCAGTCGGAGCCATGGATTCTAGACTGTGTCTAAGCAGTGGCCCGATGCTGGGGTGCTGCAACGGTGGAGGACCCGTCACGTTCAGGTAGGCGTTTTCATAGACCACCACTGTGGTGTTGGGTGCCGCGGGGCGGGACGCAGCCCACATTGCTGAGAAGACCATGGCGAGGGTTGGGTGGGAGGCACAGGCTGAGGGGTGGACGTTCTTCAAGCATGTCAACACAGAGCAGAAGGGTCATGTTCCCTGGAGGGGCTTGGAAGCACACTCTGGAAATCGACAGGGAGCTCCATCATCCACAGGCGTCCGCGACCTGAAAACAAGGCCAAACAGAAAGAGCCACTGAGAAGTGTTTTGCAAATCACATGAGACTCCTTTTCATTGGAGGATCAGACGGCTCTTCCTAACCTTTAAAAGACCTAACTGTCTAACCCTGTCCAAACTAAAATATGCCTGTGTTATTTTTAATCAACCGTGGTAGAAATGTGACATTCGTATGTAAACTAAAAGTGAAAGAATCCCCAAGTGCATTACCACCCCAAATATAGACTGATCATTTATTTTTTTGTTTCCCATTTATTTTTTCAACATCATGGATTCCTTTTAAATCATTTTCTTGGGGGGCTTATACGACTCTTATCACAATCCATCCATCCATCCATTGTGTCAAGCACATTTGTACATTTGTTGCCATCATCATTCTCAAAACATTTGTTTTCTACTTGAGCCCTTGGTATCAGCTCCTCATTTTTTACCCTCCCTCCCCGCATCCCCTCCCTCATGAACCCTTGATAATATATAAATTATTATTATTTTGTCATATCTTACATTGTCCGATGTCTCCCTTCACCCACTTTTCTGTTGTCCGTCCCCCAGGGAGGGGGTTATATGTAGATCCTTGTGATCAGTGCCCCCTTTCTCCCCCACCTTCCCCTGACCCTCCTGGTATCACTACTCTCATTACTGGTCTGGAGGGGGTTATTTGTCCTGGGGTCCCTGTTTACAGTCACTATTAATAAGAGCCAGAATTGACTCAATGGTTGTGAGATTAATATAGATTTTATCTGCTTTTCCCAAGTTTTACTTTTTTTTTAATTTAAATACCTATTTAATACGGATTCAGCTGCCATTTTTAGGCTAAGGTAAAACTGATTTGCAAAGAAACCCGAACAAGCAACTCTCTGCTCAGCACTTGGTCATTATAACCTTGGAATTCTAACTCTCTTCTGAGCGGATACGGTTAATGAAGTTCTGAAAGTTGGCTGGCATCCTTTTTTGGTACATTTTTCCTTCTAGAAATCCCACCACCAGCCATAGTGAAGAAACACTTGTTATTGTTAGGTGCCGTAACACAGGAGAAATATATACACAACTATAGCATTAGTCATATTTTGAAGAATTTTTTTCATTTTTCTGAAGCCCTCTTCGCTTTACAAGTTCTCTCTTCCCTCATTTTTGCTCTTTTCTGACACGTGAATTTCTATGTTTTCTATTTCTTATCAGTAGAACCTATTGTATTTGTGTTAGTATCTTAATAGATGATATCAAACACACAACAAAGATATGGATATTGAGGGGGACTGATAGACAAATATATACAGTTGTTGGAAAATTGGCTTTAGAAAATTGGCAAGCTATTTAGTGATCTTCCTCCAAAAAACTCCTTTCACCTTTCTCTCGCCCTTGCCCTCATTGTCTTACCAATTTTTAAATCCATTGCGTTTTCTGGGGAAGCCTTTCTAAATCTATTTTATTCAACCACACTGTGGCATGAGTTCATTCTTCTGAAGATCATTATTAGAGATGTAACCTCTCTAATTGGAAAGAACTCTAGAAATCGGATTAAATTCCTTTAAAATAACCCTTTAGAATTTGGGGTGCAGAATATCCAAAAGTTTAAAAACAACTATGTAGCGCATTGTTTGTACTTAGAATTAGTCAATGTTTTATAGAGACAACCATTAAGGTACCTTTATTCATTTCTTGAGGTCCACGAGGTATGGGGGATATCCCGTGATCCGCCACTAATCTCATCATAGGCTCTCTTTCATGCTTGTAACTGTTTACAAAACCTCTCTTGTCAAAGGCTGTCTTTGTGAATAAAGAGAATACTCATTTCGTTTCTCAAAATATTATTCAAAATTATTCAAATAATATTCAAAATATGAATCTCAGTACTTATTCTTACCTTTACACGGTAATTTCTATGAACCTATGAGATGCTAGCCACCTCCGGGTGCTTTTAAAACGAAAACTCCACTGGATGTGATGCCACCCTAAGTCATAGGCGAGCAGAGAAAATGACCTGGGGGCCCCATTCGACCTCCTTTCCCAATCCAAGGGAGAAGCAGCATCCATTTCCACACCTACGTGAGGTCAACTGCCACAAGGCAGAGCTCAGACATGCCTCCACGCTCCATCTTTCCTTACCCTATTCTGACACCAGCCCTGTCTCTCACAATATGACACTTTCCTGCTGTTTATAAGTCATTGCAATGGTCGCACAGAACCCACAGAAAACACTTAAATTATGGGGGCTTATTAGGGAAGCTCTCAGGATACCACGCACTAGGATCAGAAAACATTAAGAATATAGTTACCAGTCCCCAGAAACCCCTCTCCTTAGGCAGCAGCTAAGTCTCTCTCTCTGGTCTGTAGCTTACCAGCCACACGGCCCCGTGGCCTCCAGCGCTGTCAGGTTCTGCCTCAGTGTCCCCTAGTCTCTGCGCTGTTCCTCTGCTGTTGCACGGTTTCCTTGCCTCAGCCTCTGGTCCAAGAATGGCAGGCATTTTGAGTGTGCCCCACCTGTGGCTCTTCTTCTCTGATGGTGCCAGAATCCTCTCTGTTCCTGCTTCTGAGACGGCTCTTACATATACAAGGAACAGCAACTAAGACTGACCGATCCTCTCTTCATGTCCCCACACCCTATTTGTATGGTCCCTCAATCAGCCTGTGGGAGCTACAGAGATATGGATAGAAGCGATATATTAAGGAGTTTCATTTTACCACAATAGCAAACATTAATAAGCGCCGAAGGTGAATAGGAATGAGCAGTGGTGGTCAGAAGACTGCTTCCATGTCGTTAACAGTATCTCTTTAGAACTACCTACACAACACTTACGATTAAGGAGAAAAGGAGCCACAAGCCCACCTCCAGAGAAAATGTATAATAGGGCAATGCATATTGTAAGCCAAATGTAACCACGCTAATTGTGTTTGAATAAGTAAACAAATACGTCCCAAGTATAATAAACGAGTAATAGTTAACTGTCCTGATCATGTTTGAAGAATGGGGTCCAAAGGCAACCAGAGCTTTAAAGATGGTTTTTAAGTTGCTGTATATCTTTAGTCATCACATTTTATTGTTCTCCCAAAGCTCTGCTTACCACAAAAACTTCAAATTCAACCCATCCAATTATTCATTCATTGAATATTTATGTAAGAATGTGTGAGGTGACAAGAACCAGAGTGAAAATGTTGAACCTACCGTTCCGGGGTTTCGGGTTAAACCAAATAGAAGGTCCACAGACACTTCATCACGGGCTGCACGGAAACAGCCATAAAGTACTTGTTGTTGTTGTTAACAAAGTATATCAACCCCAAAGGAAAAAAAGATAAGGTGAACGAAACATCAATAAGTAATCAACTGAAAACGAGAACTTTTACAGGTAGTAAGCAGGTGGTATTGTAGCAAGTGACGGACAGAGCAGAACAGAGAATGCTCCGTCCTCAATACTTCCAGGGGAAGATGCTTAGAAGACGCTGAAAAGCTCTGAAGTTACAGAGTCTTTGCATGGGGAGGTACTAGTTACCACAGAAAGTGTATGTGGTAAACTGACTAGGAACTTAGATACAGAGCTGCTGGGACACCATTCGTGGAAAGGTCTCCTTCTCTACGACATAAAGCCATATGAAAGCATATACTCCCATCCTACTGCCCAATTTGGGGATACACCTTTCTCTGAGAATCATCAACTGGAGCACATCAGTGCAGGGCTGAAAAGAGAGGGGCTCAAGGAAGGTGAGCATATTCAGCATAAGTCCCTATCCCCCTACACCACAAGGGTCCCAACTCCCAGAGTAAGACATACAATCCGTAGGGAGATGAGGTTGCATCTAGGGAACAGCCCTATGAACAAGCCCTAGACCTTGACATTTGTTACTACCCCAAGGAAGATGCCAGATTGGTCACCTTGTACTGACACCCACTCACTGTCAAGACCATGCAAACAGAGGATTTAGTTCATTTTGCAGTGCCTACCAAATATGAATGATCCGTTTCTCTACTATAAGGGGACTTCAAAAAGCTCATGGGGAGATGCAATTACAGGATCATCACATTCATCCATGAACTTTTTGAAGCCTCCTCGTGTACACAGTTTACAATGGGATTAAACAATGGCAGGTTTGCAGTTAAGCACTAAAGAGCTAGGATCTGTGATCGCAGGGAACACAGTATGGCATGCAGAGACTGAGCAATGCCTTTGTCCCAATATCTGTCCAGTGCTCCTTACTGTTATACTCCTGCTCATCAGAATGTCAATGTTCTCTTACTGCCTCCCTTTTCATAACAGGAAGTGTAATAATAAAGCAGTGCTTTTGGATTGTCATAGTAACTAGGTCAAAAGAGTCTTTCCTCTCATAAATTATCATCATCAAATAGGCTTGAGACTTGAATGTCCTTTGAATTTTAAATAAAACTAAATAAAAGGCTTGTGTTTATCATTTTGATTCCCAACTTTGGGCACAGTAACAGCATGACAGACCATCCACTTTAGTTGGTAATATTTACATAACAGTCTAACATTGGATCCTCATTTAAAATTGTCTTTAGTCAGCATTTACTGGAAACGCTTAATATATTTTCTAAGTAAGCAAAATCTATTTTTGTGTGTATATCCTTATCGATGAATAGATAGCTTTCTTTGGGGGGTGGATAACAAGATAGCATTTTTGAAATGAAAAATAACGTTTTAAATATTGTTGAGAATTCTGTATGGCAGGAATAATGGCACGAACATGCAGATAAAGATGTTCACTATAGCATCATTTAATGGTAAAAACTAGGCCCTGTCTACTCACCAACATGATAATGGTTAATGAATTGTGGTCCATACATACTCGGAACCATCAACCACGTAATTATCACAAGCAATAAGTCAATCTGTAGTCATGATACCAAATCACGTTGATTATATGCTGAGTGGAAAAAAATCAACACAGGAAGCATAACATGTCATGTGGTCCCACTGTTGACTGTGTGTGCAGATGTCTGTCTGTGTGTATATATGTGCTCACACACGTGAGGGGCTT